GGTACCTTATTATTGTCAACTGATGCATCTAACACAGGTATGGGAGCTGTTTTAACACAAACCATCAATGGAAAATCTCAACCATTAGCATTCTTTTCCAAAAAATGTACTTCATGCCAAACCAAATATTCAACTTTTGATAGAGAACTATTAGCGATCTACTCTGCTATCAAATTTTTCAAACATTCCTTACATGAATATCAGTTTATAACATCACGGTATATACAGATCACAAACCCATTGTCACATCAATTTTTTCGTCCACAGACAAAACTCCTCGTCAAACCCGATATCTCAGTTATATTGCATAATTTACTTGAGATATCAAATACATCAGAGAACAACATTCAAATGTTGTCGCAAATACTCTATCCAGAATAAACATCGGATCTCTAAATTCATCTTATCCAGATTTTCTAACCGTTAGCAACGCTCAACTTCCTGACACAGAATTGTTAAACTTACTGAATAAACAATTTACCAACAATCCTTCAAAATCTTATCGTTTGGCACATCAAACAACGTCATAATCTGATATCAAACTGTGCTGTGAAACCTCGTCATCATCTTCAAGAATTTATATTCCGCAACAGTTCACATAAGCAATGTTTGACAAAATTCATAGCTTATCTCATCCCGGAATACGTTCCATCATTCATGCAATCAAAAAAAAATCTTTTGGCCACACATGTCAAAGCAAATTCATGTTTGGACTAAAACCTGCTTAAAATGTCAACAAGCAAAAATCCAAAAATATACAAAATCGCCAATCATCAACATCAAAATTCCTAAAATTAGATTTGATCATATACATATCGACTTGATTGGACCACTCACTCCATCCCTAGATTGTACGTATGTACTTACAGTTATTGAACGCTTCACTCGATGGCCAGAAGCTTTTCTGCTAAAAGATATTACATCTCCTACTATAGCTATAACATGATCAGGGACGGCAATGCGAATCAAACCTTTTTTCAAAATTTAACACAATATTCGGCACACGACAAATACAAACATCATCTTTCCATTCTCAAGCAAATGGAATGTTAGAACGATTTCATCCATCATTGAAGACGGCTCTCATCGCTAAAGGAGACACTGCTAGATGGAACAACAATCTACCCCTCATCCTACTAGGATTAAGAACATCACTTAAGGAAGATCTAGGTTGCTCCTCCGCAGACCTGCTTTACGGGCAACCACTAAGACTTCCTGGAGAGTTCTTCATACCTACTAATCCATCTATTGACTATGAGCCTTTTCTTTTCAGTTTAAACGACCCTTTTTCCAAATTAAAGCCTGTAAATATGTCTGTTTACTCTATTCAAAAATCTTTTATTCATAAAGACTTGCACAAATGAAATTTTGTTTTCATTAGAATTGAATAAAATTATTTTTAATATCGATCGCTATAAGCCCGCGTTTATCTTTAACGAAACTGTTAAATTTAATAATTCGGAAATAGATAAACATGTGTCATCCTCGAAGAGGAAAGTACATTTTAACATATAATCGTTATTTTTTTATTACTACAACATATTACTTTCTTAAGGTGTACCATAGTATTGTAGTGTGCCATGCACCACACAAAGTGTGCCATGTAAAATTGTTTTAATAAATGATTTGTTATATAGTAAAAAAAAACAAAAAACAGATTGAAAAATAAATAATCCAAGAACATGTGGTAGACTCAAATTAATTTTTAAAATTTAATAAGTATTGTACATGATCTCGTATATCATCGCAGTCTTAAAGTTTTTTTTTATTTAAACATAAGTCATAACTTTGTATTTTTTTATTGAATAGTTTACCCTGAAGAAGGAATTAAGTAATTCCTAAAGCTTGGTTCAAAAAAACAAGGACAACGTTGTTTTAATTTTACCCTTGCATTGCTGGATTACCCAAGAATCTCTATAGTTCCTATATTGTAATGGTCATGATTCCTCTCTACATCATTCCACGGAGTTTACTGAGGCCATTATGATCTTTAATTGTTATGAACTCTCCTGAGATTTCCATATACGTGTAATTATGGTTGACGAATGGATACTGTGTGTATGGAAGACCCACACTAATGCGGCCACACCTAACGCTTGTAGCTGACCGTTTAGAAAAATATTTCCTAGACACTATGTTCGGAGTAACATCTGAAGAGGAAAAATATAGAAAGTACTCTAGTAGTACTCTTGTTTGCCATGTTTCAGGTATGGCAACGAAAAATCGCAGGAGTCATATCTAACACGTTTTTTCATCGCATCGGATTCATGGGTCGCTTACCTCTAGATTCTTGAATAATCCGGACCTAAGTAGCATATATGTGCAGCATCCTAATCAAAAGAGACAAAAAAATAAAGAGATAGAAACAGTGAATACGAATTACATACTATAATTGAAAAGATAGTGACTGTTGATCAGTCGCAGAATAAGGTAATAACTTTCTGGCATACGATTCTGCAATATGAGAACGCCCTTAGAGTTCTAATAACACCGGTTGTGAAAGCCTACGTCAAATCTTCTTAGACGCTGCGACTGGTAACATAAGATTGAAAACCGTAACCAAGGGTGTCGAGTTTCTGTCTGGAGTGAAGTAGCACTCGTTATAAGTACGCAGAATCTTAAATACTATAGACACATCTCGCGTTTGCCTGTCGCTTCAAAGGTGTATGAGAGATTGGGTGAAAATTGAGATCTACTACCTCAATGTTGGCCATAGCTTCCGACAAAATGGGTTAAGAGGGGCATTGGGCCGACTGACGCCATCTGAAGGATAAGAGACGTTGTGCATATCTGAGTTGTTTATATGTTTTAGGGGTGTTTATTGTTGTATCGGCGGCTTTTAATAATCTCTGCTGGCTCTCAATACTAAAACGGCAGAGAGCGGCGAATATCCCCGAAAACGTGTACGAAGTGACCAGATATAACATCAGGGGCTGGGAGGTAGGAATGTCGTCAGGTGTTGGTAGTATCAGGAAGGAGTGTTCCCCTGGAGAAGATGTCAATTGTTAAGGAAGAATTACAACAGTCCTAATTTATGACCCCACAATGTTGCCAAAAAGGCTTACCATATTAGAGAAATTCAATAAAGTAGAGAAGCTGATTCAGAAACTTGTGATAGAGAGTTAAATAAAGAAGAGATTGGTACAGGAAATGACGTAATTGATTGGCGACAATATGTGTAGATGAGGGAAAGTTAAATAATAATAAACTGGTAAAACGTGCTGTATATAAGAAGTTTGTGAAGATACTCAAAACAACAAAAGTATAAGGAGTCACAGGAAGATTAGGGAGAATACTGAAAATAGAGTAGTGATAGAAACGGAATTGACCATACATCAAAAGAAATTAATTTTACGACCTAAAGAAAGTGTATTCGCCTGCGTTTAGTGGGCGTTTGAGGAATTGATTCTGGGAGTGGAGGGATGAAGGATAGGAGTTGCGGTAGGGAGGAGAGATGATTTGACAATCATGAACTGGTTACTGAAGTGGATGCCCTAAAGAGTAGTAAAGCCCTAGTAAAGAATTACGTCGTGACTATATCTGCGTAGCCGCAGTGTTTGATAATCTTAGGAAGTATTTATTGCCCTAAAATCGTTTACCGGTAGAATATTTGTGGAAAGAGGCAGAATGGGTTTATGATCAGTGTGTGATAAAGTTGCTACTCTCGGCTCTTCGCCCGGAAAAGTCTAGACATTTTTGGTATTGTTGCCGTTCGTTTTAATGTTTTGCTGATACTTACGAGGTGAGAGTGAATGTTTCTTCGTCCTGCCTATGGCATTTAACTGCCTTTGAAAACGGAAATGAGAAAAAAGGTTAAGTTTAGTCATAAATTTCGGTGATGGTTCTAGTTAGTGTTACCAACTGAAGCTCTCTTGACGCCATTCTTTAACGTCTGCATATTAAACGGTAAAGAACGACTATGTTTCAGTAATTGATGTTCGCAATGAGGATCACTTATGTACAGCATTTATTGCACAGAAACGCTTCGTCCATAATTTCTAAACATTCTTCCTTCTTTGAAATGTACCTATTTTAGTTTTCAACCAGACAAGAACTCTGTAGGTTCAGGTACCAAAAGGAATCATTTTGAAATTATGGTAGGAGATTGAAACTTAGGGCTTCAAAGTAAAGCTTATATTGTTCTTGTATTTCTTCGTTCCTCGTAATGTGTCGTAATTTCTTTTACGCGAGAATAAAGGATTTCTATTCTTTCTTTGCAGTTATTTATCCAGTCTAGGAAGTGTTTTCTTTTCATGGTATAAATTATAGAGTTTCTGTTTCTCGTATGTAAACTTGAAATCTACTTTTAGGGTTATTAATCCTGTTGGTCGTAATTTATGTCATGCCTCTTTTAAGTGGCGTATCTGATTCATCTTCGAGACATCTTTACAGTTCAATAATTATTGAATGAAGACGCTCCACATTTGCTTGAGATTCTGTGTTTTCGAGCAGTACTAAAATCGATAATTTTATAGAATTACATTAAATTTGTAGTATGCGTTTCGATTTGATTGAGATTTGATTTCGCTGTATAATCAATAATATTAGTTATAATAATAATTATAATTTGATGTCTTTTGCTTTCTAAAAGCGTATTCTCTAACAAACTAAATTGTACTAATCGAGTCTTAACATAACGTTAATCAAGAAAACAAGTAATCTAAGTGGATATTATATCATGATAACGTTTAATTAAATTAACGCGGAGGTGATCAAGTCCTAAAATTCGATATTATAAGAGGTTTTTTGATAAGTTTTTATGATAGACTCTTAACATAACGTGAATTTTTTAATTATTATTGAAGTGTAAAAAGAAAAGAATATATAAAACACAGAACAACTTTATTTGCACAACTGTATTAACAAAGCCTACATCACATATAATATTTATTTCTTTGCATATCCTCAATCTATTAGAAAAGTTATTAACACAAGTGTTTGTCTCGAAAATCTGAACTGATAAGTCGAAACCGATTTCCACTTCGATACTGTAATTTATATTTATCAAATCAGATAAATCTTCTAAATTTATCTCATTTGATCATTTTACATCACCGATATACTGACGATATATTACGGTGCATGTTTGTGCTATTACATCTTTTTGTGTTGTAGTGTGAAACTGTAAAAATGGTAAACTCGATTCTTGAAGTTATAAATCTGGAAAACCCCATTTTTAGGGGTTACGTTCTCTGCTCATCAGTTTTGGTTTTAAAAACTATGGCAATGGCACATCTTACCGGTATACAGCGATTTAAACGTCAGGTTATATTTCTTAATACAATAAATAATGATTGTATAATATTGATAATATTTTATCCATAATCTTTTACTTTTTTTACACAACTCAAACACATTTTCTTCTAATTTGTAACCTTCAATCTCGATGATCACAATTAATTACAAACCGTTTGTCGTTAATTTTAAAAAGCAGCGAGTCACGATATTTATATAGACAGCGCAAGCGTAAATAAATTCACGTAAATTACGTAAATAATATCAATCATCTCCTAAGTTTAAGATGATTATTTTCTCAGTTATAAATCGGTGTCTTTTCAATCCAAATGAATAAATAAAATAAACTATGGGTGAAGGTGGGCTTTTAGAAATAATCAACTTGAGCAATCCCATTTTTAAGGGATACATATTCTATTCCGCATTACTGATACTTAAAGTACTAGCTATGGCTATATTAACGGGTTTCCAACGGTTTAAGAATATGGTATAAAATATCATAAATAATTGATTTGTATTTCTATAAAATAGATTTTGATAGCATAATTTTTTTAGGTGTTTGTTAATCCAGAAGATGCGGCAGTATTTAAATGTAAACCAAAAATAGATGCAAATGTTGAACGAGTAAGAAGGTTAGTAGTATTATTTTTATAATTAAATTAAGTAAAATGGCATTTTTCATTTTAATTTTAGGGCTCATTTGAATGATTTAGAAAATATTCCAATTTTCTTCGTGGCTGGGTTTGGTTATATGTTAACCAACCCACCAGTTCGAACCGCTTTGATGCTATTCAAAATATTCACTATTGCTAGATTTCTCCATAGCTTGGTTTATGCAGTCGTTAAGGTGCCTCAACCAGCAAGAGGATTAGCTTGGGGTACCGGTTATTGTATCACTGGTTTTATGGCTGTGAAAACTCTTTTGCATTTCCTATAAAAAAATATTTTTATACGATGTTTTTGTAATGTTTGTATATGGATTTTTAAATATAGAATGAACATAATGTAAAATATAATCATTGTTCTAATTATTTAATTTTACTTGACAATTGAAATTAAAGTTCTGCATATGATTTTATTTACGAGGATTCGTTTATTGTTATAACGATAATTTCGCAGGGAAATAACACATTCCTCATTGATTAATTATGTTTACTCAAACATGATTTAATCGACGTTTCGAGCTGTTATAAGTCCATCATCAGGATTTAATATAAATCACCTGAAGGTTTGTCGTAAGAGCTATTTTAGACCACAAGTGAGCAGTTGAGAACCGCATTGATACTAGAATAATCTTTATGAAAATAAAAACTAAAATAATGATAGATGTCAATTATCAACTCTCCCACTATTTTTCAATAATGATTTGTAATTGTAATTCATATTAAATCCTGATGATGGGCTTATAACAGCTCGAAACGTCGATTAAATTATGTTTGAGTAAACATAATTAATCAATGAGGAATGTGTTATTTCCCTGCGAAATTATCCTTATAACATGAAATAAAAATTATAGGTGATATATTTAATTCGGCAAGAGAAGCTGTATTATTAATATATTGTTACAATATAAATATACAGTATCTGCCAAATTGTAATCAAATTCTTTTTTTGGATCCATTGCACCTACTTTTCTGAAATTTGGTCATACAGTATGTTCACTTATGTTACCTCCGGTCCACGCGAAATAAACCACAAAATCGTTATTGGCCTTTTCTTGTGTAATGGTATTCCGGTATTCTGCTATTATTATATAATGGTTTTCCATATTACTTGAGAAATTCGGTATATCAAAGTAATACTTTTGTTCCCAGTGCGTTTTAGCATTTCCATTACTATATTATCCGAGCCTGGTAATTTTCAGTCCCTTACTTTTTGAAAAGCCGTTTTCAGAAATCGTGGTTCATATTCTCGAACTTCGTGCGTTAGATTCTTCTGTGGGTCAACCTCTTCCGCGGCCATGAGATTCTTGCAATACCGACTACTCTATTAATTTCTCTGTTAATGGTTTTGCTCAGTATTCATTTCCATATTCTCAAAGTTCATCAGAGTTCATTCAGTTGATTCTTTCTCTCGATATTTTATCAAGGTTATATTTAAGTGCACATTGAAAAGCCGTATTTTTACCATTATACCTCTGTAGTTCGCTCTGTACTTTGAGACAGATTTCTGCCACAAAAGGTCTTTACGTCTCTAATAGAACTTTTCCATCTACTTTTCATAAGAACGTAATTGATTGCGTGTACGTCCATAAAGCAGCGACCTCCAAGTATACATTCTCCTAATATAATGTTAATAATAATATCCTAATATGACATAAGAATTAGATATGTATAGTTCATTCGTCGCGCAGAATTCGATAAACATTTGACCACTTTTATTCCTTTGTTCTATGCCATATTTTCCTACTACTGTGCATAGATGTGTATCGATGTCGTCTAAAATAATTAAAAGTTCTTTGTTAGGCATTTCGGTTCATTATTTTGGGAGCATCGTTGATAGTTTCGTATCCCAGCACAGATTATTTATAGTTCTTGTGTATAAGAAAGACCATACCGTTAATGTTGTGGTTTTCGTTAACCGAACATGTAAAAATGTTTCTGTTTTCAGATGTGTAGTGTACACTGTTTTTTCAACGAGTTTCAGTTATACCAGTGAAGGAGCTATTTGTAAGAACTTTTTCAATAATGGCGAGTGTGCAAGTTTTGTTCAAACTCAAAAAGCCGAACTAACAATATCAAAAACTCTGGAGCTCTACATTGGGTGCCGCAGAAACCACGCTGTGATGTTCCACCGGATTATTGGTTTATTCTAGTGCATAACACTGGTATGGATAAACAGTTCATGTACTCAGAAAATCAATACACAACTGAACTCGACTATGGGAACTATATCAGAATGTCTTAAATCCACTCCCCTTCGCTGGTTCCCAACGCGCCGCCAAACCTGCTAAGAAAGAATGCTCTCCTAAAAGAGTTCAAGAAAATAACTCACAACCCACTGCTGCCGATTAATGATGAACCTCATCTTGATATGAATCGCCTCGCATCCCGACTACAACATCAGTTCTGACTGGGAAAGTCGCCAAAGTGCCACCAGAAATAAACCAACATATCCTCCTCAACCAATAACCAATAAGATTTGGACTTCCCCGCCCACTATGTAAGGGCCTCAACAGAGTACGTACGGGACATGGAGTGTCTAGTGATAGTCTCCATGAATCACCGTCTCGGTGTGATTGCGGAGCTTCAAAACAATCTATCCAGCACAGTGTTTGGTAATGCCCTATTAGATCTTATCTGAACGTTGTGACAGACTTCTTTGATGTTAAACTCGCAACTCTCGAATGGCTAGTCGAATTGGATATAACATTTTAGATTTTGGTTGTACTGCAACGGTTTGTGTTTCCTTTTTAATTATATTAGCGTCATGTATTATCATCTCTTATTTTCGTTTAGCAATCTTATCAATTCCTGTAAGGTCAATTGTTTTCGCTATGGGTTGGGTTATCCGCTCTTGTGTAGTCTTCACGCTTGATCTTCCTCTTTTGTTAATTAAATTATCCATTAGCAAGCTTTGTTTAAGTCAATTTAAATAAAAACAAATTTTTCCTCTTTCTTGCTTTTTTTATTTTATTGTATTTCTACATCGATTTCGAGGAAACAATCCTCATCTTCAGTAGAATCTTACATAAAATTTAAACATTATGATATAAAATCAAAACTTATAAAGTTTACTTACTGTTAATTAAGTTGAAAAAATATTAAACATTAAATCTAACACATCATCCAAAGTAAAACTTCAACAATTTTAATCTAAACTTGAAACATTTTCTTTTTATATAATTGAATAAATACAATAGACCATCAAAAAATCAAAAACCAAAAATCAAAACACATCTAAACAAAATCCAAAATAATACAAAACAAATCACGCGTTTACAGTTGACAAGATAAACGAAAAGTGACTGAAGGTCAAAAGGAACAAGCAAGAAAGAAACTGGTATTTATCCTGAATAACACTATCTATATTTAAATTTAAAATCCTTCAATAAAGCAAAAATAGGGTCTGTATTCATTTGTATTTGATCATTTAATAAATTATAATTTTGATTATGTTTATATATAAAAACACAAACTTAATTTTTCACTTAAACGTCTCAGGTTGTATACGCAGCCGGTCAAGTTCCTGGGGGTTTATCTTGACTCTGGTTTAACGTGGAAGGCCCACATTGACCAATTGACGAAAAAACTGAATANATTTGATAATAATTTTAAAATTGTGTTATTATTAGAATATGCCAAAGAGATATCATATCTGGAGAATAGGTGTTGCATAGTTGAAGTATATTGATTGTAGATTATAGGTTTATATGTCAAATTTGAGTTTTTTACCCTAGTATTTAACGGATCTTTTTGTTTTATAATCCTACAAAATAGTCTATCTATAGAACTTTTTGGAAAACCATTATTGTTAGCCAATTTATATATGAAATCTTTTTCGTTTTTTAAAGTTTCTTTGTCAAGTGGATAATCTAATAATTCTGTTGATTAAAAATCTAAAATTTGCAAATTTCTAATTGTGTGGGTGGTAGTATGAATTGTAGGGGATAGTAGTTAAAGAATTTGTAGGTTTCCTGAAAATACTGTATTTAATTTTGTTTTCTATTGTTTTAGTTAAAGTAAGGTTCAAAAAATCTAATGAATTGTCCTTTTCTATTTCCATGGTAAATTTTAATTTTTCATGTATGTTGTTTAGATACTTTAAAAATTGTTCCAATTGTGAAATGTCTCCCTTCCAAATGCAAAACACGTCATCTACATATCTACACCAAAATTTAATGTTTTCTTCAAATACATCGTTATAATTAAGAATCATATTTTTCTCAATAAAATCTAGATATATATCTGAGACTAATCCTGATAAGGGCATGGCCTTATCTTATCTGCCCTTATTTCTTATCTTCCTCTTTTGTGTCCAAGTTTTGGTGTTGGACGTATGCATTTGATAGTATAGAACATCGTACACGTGGTTTGGAATTATTTAAAGAAGTTTCACTTTGGATTTGTATCTCTCGCTCAAATTTTTGGAGGAATCTCGTTGGAAATTTTTCTCGTGCCGAATATTTCCGGATTTTTCGGGGCGCGTGGCGTTCTCTATTAGAGCTGGTTGTTATCGGGAGGTAATTATGGTTTAATTCATCGTTGGAATTGGCAATCATCAAGGACGATTGGCGGATTTTCGATACGATTCCTGAGCACCTGGTTGGTCATTTTGTTGTTAAAGTATTAGGACCAACGTAAAGATCAAAAAGATCCGAGACAGGTGTCGCGTCGTGACATCGTGAGAAGACACCAGATAAGTCTTTAAGGAATTATTCATTTTTTTACCGAACCTTATTTAAAAAGTTGTTTAAAAATATTGTTAAATATTTAACTTTTGTAATTCGTAACGGTATTATTTTATTTTTGATTTTTTTATGTAAATCAGTTACCCTAATTTTTTTATTGTATTACACTTAATTAATATTTTATTTTATTAATTCCACCCTTTGATTATATACAATATGGATTGGGCCAACGAGAGAGATAGCTTGCGCAAGGTGATCGAACCGAGATAGACATAGAAGCGTACTGACATATAATGGGCGTGCGTTAATTTATAAGATAAAACTATCAATTAGATTTAGAAGTAACATTTATAATACTTACAGGTGATGTGAAACTGTATTATCGCGAACTTTGCACACGAAACAATACATTTTTAAAGATAACGGNAGGGCATGGCCTTATCTTATCTGCCCTTATTTCTTATCTTCCTCTTTTGTGTCCAAGTTTTGGTGTTGGACGTATGCATTTGATAGTATAGAACATCGTACACGTGGTTTGGAATTATTTAAAGAAGTTTCACTTTGGATTTGTATCTCTCGCTCAAATTTTTGGAGGAATCTCGTTGGAAATTTTTCTCGTTCCGGATATTTCCGGATTTTCGGGGCGCGTGGCGTTCTCTATTAG